TATATATATGTATATATATATATATATATATAATGTCGTAAGTTCTCGTGTGTGTGTGCGCACATGCAAAATTTATTTCTCATGTAGTTCTTCAAGTATGTGTTTTCAAAATTAGCTTATTTAAATACTTTTCTGATGCCCTCTTGTGTAATTTGACCATTTTCTCCCTGCAGGAAATTCAATCATATCTGTGAACAGACGAGGTTCAAGAACTAAGCCTCAGGGAGGCACCAAGATAGCTGCAGAATCCTGGTGGCAGTGACAGTGCGTTTGAAAAATACCTAATGCAAACACTTGAAGGGCATTTTTACAGTTTCCCTGTGGGACGTTGGGGGTCTCTGGTCAGTACTCTGGTGTGACTTTTCTTTTGTGGAGCTTTACCCTCTAAGTGAGACCCTCCCAAGTGGCCTGGGAGGCCCTGGGTGGCTACAGCCTGTCTGGTGAGTGCCAGGCAGGAACATGCAGTGGCGGGAGCAACGGACACTGAAGTTCTTTCTGCCAGACAGACTGTCATTCCCTCCTGCTGAGATGGTGACAGTGCAGTTTTGCTCTTTTTGTACCTTTTCCAGAACTAATGGTTAAAACAGAAATCTCTTTTCAGGAAAAGTTTCATGGGAGAAAGGAGAAAGTTTATAAGAAACATTCTATTTTAAGGAAAAGGGAGCATAAGTTTACAGCCTACAAGATGTACAGAATATTCTGCTGTTGGGAAACCCACAGCGTTTTATATATTTTTTATTTTAATAGGTTTGGTGCTTATCTTCTAATAAGATTTAAATATCACAAACTGTAGCACAAATAATATAATTTGTAATTTACAATTTCACTAAAATGGGGAATAGTATGGTATTTGAAAGAATAAGCATATATTCCTGTTTATTAAAGAAAAAAAAAATCATCAAATGTCCCAAACTCCTAACCCTAGACATGGGTCATTTAGCAGATCCTGGCTAACGTGTGTGTGTTGGGTTGCCATTGTCCCTAGCACAGGGCTGGCGAGAGCCCTGGCTATACAGCAGGGACAAGGCCCAGGACACACTGCTCCCTCGTGCTGGCCCAACTGCAGCCAAAAGCCCTCCTCATCCCTCTGGAGCAGCAACTCCCACTGGATCCTGCAGAGCTCAAGAAGGAGCCCTTTTCTCCCACATTAGGTTTGCCATGTCATCTGGAATAATACTTGAAATTTTGGTTTTTGTAAAAAAAAAAAAAAAAAAATTTATCTTTCATTGAAATCACCTGTTTTGTTTGTTTGCAAACTGGTAACCTTTTTCCTTCTCAGGAATATGATTTTCAGCTGTTGTCTTGCTTCTGACACATGCTGAAAAGCAGCACTCTGTGGGAGGAAGTCCTCTCTTTTACATTCTAATAAACAAGTCCAGTTTGTTTCTCTGCTGTCTTGCTGGGCTCTGGTGTGGCTCCACCACACGTTTCCCTGCACAATGGAGAGCAGTTCCCTGCACATTTACTACTGTACTGTGAGTCATACGTACTTTATTGGGCTGGCCAGTTAGCTCAGTTGGCTAAAACATGCTGCTGATAACACCAAGGTCAAGGGTTCCATCCTTGTACCAGCCAGCTGCCAAAAAAAAAAATCACTTTATTCCCTCCTAGTCGATCTGGCAATTCCATCAGCAGATAAGCCATGTGGAGTGAGTGGACTCTGGAGCCACATAGGCCCTGGGGCTGGGGCCTGAAGTTTGAGCTTCCAGTGAAAACAGGCCAGTTTCATTTGCTGACCCTGTCCAGTGTTGAAGCTTTGTCTTCAGCCAAGCACTAGATGAAGCCATGGGGCAGAGATCCCGGCTTGTGCAGGAGCAAGACCCTGCAGGGAGCTCCATTGCTTATGCAAATGTGTGAGGGGAGCTCCCATGCTGGTGCGAGGAGGCCCTGAGGGAAGCAGCCACCTTCTCTGAGCATGAGACCCAGCATGCGCTCCCCAGGCTAATGAATGAGCTGGGGCCACTCTGTGTCTGTGCCTTGAAGAGATCAGCCAATCTCTCATGTGCTCTTTCTCCCTCTCTCCACAAAGTAAAAATAAGAATGCAGGCCCTGTAAAGGACACAACACCTTTTTTACGCCTAAGTGTAGATAGAACCTGCAACTTTCCTCAGGTTTCACTTGGCTGTCCCTGAAGGGGCAGGCAGCACATAGAGCTCATGGGGCTCTGAGTGCCTTCGGGAATCACTAAGCTGTCACACTTCTTTGAAGAAACCTGATGCCTGGTCCAGGGAAGGGGCTGATGAGACTCCACTAGTTGGTGAACTCCAGTTCCCCGGTTCCGACAAGTGTAAGATGGTTGGAACATCTTGTGTGAGGCTCTAATCTGAGGGATAGGACCTTGGGCCTAGGGCACCATTCACTAGGAGTGGTGATGAGCTGTCTGTTTTACAGAGGCAGGTGGGTGTGAACTTGTAATGTTTTTATGATTTTCTGTGCTTCCTGTTCCTCAAGACCCTCCTACCCCACCCGAATAAACCATCAACCCACAGTTGTCTTGGAGCCCTGCTGTCTGTGTGGGGTGGGGTGCCAGCTTGCTCACAGGCTGGCCCTGTGGGGCAGCCTGGCAGCAGCTGTACACTCCCACGAGCTTCCATCCAGCTCCTTGAGCCCATCCCAGGACGGACCAGAGCCAGTCTGCAGCTACCCACTGACCACCTACAGAATCGCTCGACTTGTGTCTCCTCCTATCCTCCTGGTGCAGGATGGGCATCTTGTCCTCCCGGTGACCCCCGTCAAAAGCCGGGGTTAACCCTCCCCTCCCCCATCAGCTTTGATGTGTTGTTAGAGTGAGCCCTTCTTGGCCTGGAGGGCTCCCAGCTCCAAGCAGGCGGGGGAGGGGGTTCTCAGGGGTCCAAGTTGGGCCAGCCTCTGTCCGGGCTCCTGATTGCAACCAAGAATGCCAAACAGATTGATTCAGACAAGGACAAGGGATTTGGACCAACTGTCTTACTGTGGCCAAATAAAAAGTCCGTTTGAAATAGGTTTTAAGTCATCTTAATTGCCTCTGTGCTTGCTGGATCAGAACAGTAAGCCCTGGATCTGCGAGAGGCAGGAATCCAGCAGGCTGCTCTGGGCATTGCGATGGTTTTTGCCCCCAGGGATGTGGCCAAACCAGAGAGGCAGCTGAGTCTGGAATGGGCTTCTGCCTGCTGGGGGAATCTGGGGACAGCCCACCCCCTTAATTTGGGCTGGCAGCCCAGGAGAGTGATGAGCATGGCTGGCCGCCTAGCAGCCTACAACCAGGTTCAGCAGAGAGGCCCAGAAATTGCTGCTAGGGCCACCAGGTCACCAGGAGCTCAGTAGAAAGAAACTAAACTCTTGTGAGAAAGAAATCAAAAAGAGGGACTTACTGGATTTAGAAAGCCCAGAGAACTTCAAGTGTGGCTTGATGCAGGATCCTGAACAGTGTCCCTGGGACCATTCCCTCCCTCTGCTCTCTCCACATTGGCTCCAGTTTTGGCATGCACAGTAGGTATTGCTCCCTCAGGTGCTGCTGTGGCTGTATAGAGAAGACCACAGGTAGGTCTCACCTACCTGAGGACAGAGGCCCACACAGAGTGGCCCTGTCCGTTGGGTCCACCAGCCGAGCCCAGTGTCTACACAAAGCCTCTTCCTGAGAGCCCGTTGTTAGTTGTCAGAAATGTTGAGAGCCATAACTGTTAAACACAGCCATTACTATAAAAATCATGGGAACTTAGAGTTAAATAAATTAAAAACAAAGGTGGTGAGTGCTTGGGACTCAGGTTTACTGCAACCGAAGGCGACCTAAGCGCTTGCAGGGGTGTGGTGGATGGCATGACAGTGCAGGAGGTTGTGCTGTCCAGCCTCACGTTCATGGGCCTTGAGCTATAAGGTTAAAACTGGCCCCAGTAAGAGTGTTTATACCATGGACATTGGTAAATGCTGCAAATCAGGGTCATTTTGTTTTTGTTTTTTCCTGAAGATTGTTAGACTCAGCACAGGCTGCACCCAGGCAACCACTACAATTGTGAGAAATGATAGTTGTTTTAAGTGACTACATTTTGGGTTGGTTGGTTATGTAGCAATGAATGACAATATCATGGCCCATGAAGGCCTGGCAGTGACTCCTGCCACCTCCCCCAAAAGACCTCCTCTGCTCCCTTCCTTGCCCCTCCCCAATAACGGGTCTGTGCTGCTTCTCTAGCAGCCCACGCCCACCCCACACCCAGACCCTGCCTGTGCCAGCTGCTCCTGTGCTGCTTGCGTCATTCAGTCTCAGCTCAGACTCACCCCTTAGGGGGCCTTCTGCTATCCCCCACCCCAACCAGTCATCCTGTCATAGCCTGTTTTTTCTTTCTTCCTAGCACCTATCATCAGAAAGTAAATACCTATTTACTATTTGCCTCCCCACTCAAAAAATCTAGAGCAGAGATCTTGCCTGTTTTGTTACTGTTATACACTCAGCCACAATGTCTGAGCCTGGGGAAGCATCTAATGATCGCTGGTTGACCATCTGGCAAGTGGTCGGATGAACAGGTGAATGCCCCAGCATCACTGAGTCTTCGCCAAGGCCCAGCTTAGACATCACTGTGACTTGAAATCTTCCCTGAGGCACAGATGACTGAACCTTCCTCTGTGTCTCTGTCAAGACTAATGCTCTCATTTTTTACATGTTTATCTCCTTCCCAAGATGGTGAGCCTGGACTGCATCTTTATCTTTTTGTCACCCATGCCTGACACAGAGTAGACGTCAGTAGTACACGTCTGTCAAGAGGATGAATGTGGGGAAGACGTGCTGGAGGTTAGTAGACCAGCAGTCAACCATCCAGGTGCGCTGTGAGCCTGGCATCTGTGAGGATCGCCTCTCCTGGTGGTAGCCCAGGCCGCCATGACAAAGAGCACAGACCAGGGTGCTTAAACAACAGGAGTTTATTTCCTCACAGTTCTGAAGGCTGGAAGTTTGAGAACAAGTGTTGCAGGGCTGGTTCCTCTGAGGCCCCTTCTCTGGCTTGTAGAGGCTAACTCTCCCTGTGTCCTCATCTCCCCTTCTTGTGAGGACACCAGTCTTATTGGGTTAGAGCCCACCCTAATGACCTTGTTTTAACTTAATTACTTCTTTAAAGACTCTGTTTCCCAATACAGTCACCTTCTGAAGTCTTCGGCGCTGGGACTTCAACATGTCTTAACACTTCGTTATAGTCAAACATCAAACACCACAGCATTTTATAAAAATTGGGTGGTTTTGTTTTCTGGTTTTTGGTTTTTGTTGTTTGGCAAATCCCACATAGTACATACTGTTAAGACCCTGTGGTGGGACAGAGACATTATTTGGTGTCTCGTCCATGTCCTCGTCTCTGAAACCTGTGAACACATTACCTTACATGGTAAAAGGGACTCTGCAGATGTGATGAAATTAAGGATCTTGAGATGAGGAGAGGATCCTGGGTTATTTTGTGGGCCCTGCATGCAATCATGAGCATCCTTGTAAGAGAGAGACCAGAGATTGAAGGCAGAATGAGGAGACTAGGTGACAGAGCCAGGGGTGGAGCCAAAAAAAAAAATGGTCCTCCCCTGGATCCTTCAGGAAGAACCAGCCCTGCCTACAACTTAGTTTTGGACATCTGACCTCCAGAGCTGGAAGATGATAAGTTCTTGTTTTGAGCCACTGAGTTTGTGGTAACTTGTCACAGCAGCCACAGGAAGCTCATACACACGGTTCCTCTGAGGCTTTGCAGAGGGGTGGAATATTCTCCGCTCACCCCAGAGCTCTCATCCATTCACGAATGGGACATGCTTCTAACGTCTCAGATTTGCCTTTCTAACATCTCAGATTTGCATTGGCAGAAGAGAACTGTCCACCATTCCAGGAAATGTCATGACCTGTCAGCAGCTTGTGCCAAAACCCAGGGGTTGTCTCTGATCTTTCTCCTGCCCTAGTGTCACTGCCCTCCCCACACCAGCAAGCCTGTGGGCCCCACTCCCGAGCCATGGCCTCCGCCCACCCACTTTGCTCTGGCTCTACGGCCTCTGCCCTTGCCTGAGCCACAGTCTCTGATGCTGCCCCTGCCATCCACATCCACACAGCGCCCACCCCCTGCTCGCCTTCCAGGGGCTTCCCACTGCTCTGATGGGCCTGCGTGGCGGCCCCTCCCCTCATGCAAGTTCAGCTCAAATATCGCTTCTTCTAAGGAACGTTTGAGAGCACACCATGTATTCTCCTTGCTGTTCTCTCCCCTGCGCACTGGCCCCACAGTTGCCCACATGACTCATTTTCTGTTTTGCCTGAGTGACTCGTTTTCTGTTTTGTTCAGGTGTTGGCTCAAATTCATCTGAGAGGTCCTCCCTAAACCATCTACTGAAAATAGCGGCATGCCTCCCTACCCTTCACCTGGCCTCTTAACTCATCATGTCCTGTCATGTATTTCTGTGTTTACTGACTGGTATTCATTAGAGTGTAAGCTCCATGAGAGCAGGGAATTGTCCAGCCTCCAGCGTAGTGCTTGGCGTACAGTAGGCCACAGTAAGGATTGAATGAGTGAGTGATGACCCAACTTACACAGTAGCCCCTCCCATGCTAACACACTGCCAGCTTTGTTTTCTGTATATTAGTTACCACTCTGAAGATCTGGTCTTACACACACACAAAGCTGAACCACAGCAGGGACCTTACCAGTGCTGTTGCCCCACCTAACATGCATGCAGACCAGTACTGAGCTCACTTAAGGCACCCAAATGTGTCCATCAATTGATGAATGGATAAACAAAATGTGGTGTATCCAGACGATGAAACATTATGCTGCAATGAAAATGAATAAAGCACTGAAATGTTGCAGTGTGGAGGAACCTCAAAAACACTGTGCTAAGTGACAGAGAAGGCAGTCACAAAAGGCCACAGACTGATCCTAGTTATATGAAATATCCAGAATAAGCAAATATGTAGAGATAGAAAGCAGATTAGTGGTTGCCAGGTCCTGGGAGGAGGGGTAATAAGTGGCTGCTTGTGGACGAGGGATCCTTTTGAGGTAATGGAAGTGTTCTCAAACTGATTGTAGTGATGGGTGAACAGCTCTGCAAATTTACTAAAATAACCATTGAGTAGTACACATAAAATGGGCAGACTTTATGGTATGTAAATTGTACTTTAATAAAGCAGTTAAAAAGTTTAGTCTTTTTTCCATGTGCCTGTGCCACCAATTTAATATATAAATAGGTTTATTTGTTTCTGTTTGTATTTAAATTCAGTGTTTGTCACACTTTACTTGCTAATTAATATTTCCCCCCAATTTCCCCCATTGGTTGTATTTTACATGGAAAACTGACATTGGTCTAAAGTGTGTGCATACTTGTGTGTCATTTTGTCACATGTAACCATCTTGGCAATCAGGATGCAGAACAGTCCCATCATCACAAAAATCTACCCTGTGCTACCCCTTTTTAGTCATCCCCACCTCACCATTCCCAACCCGTGGCAACCACTAATATATTTTCCATCTCTATAATCTTGTCATTTCATGAATGTTATACAAATGGAATTATATAATGCAGTATAGATCTTTTGAAGTTCTCCTCCTTGGTGTAATGCCCTTGAGATTCTTCCACTTTGTTGTGTTTATTAATAGCTAGCTCCCTGTTATTGCTGAGTTGTATTCCATGGTGTGGTGGAATCCATCCACCCATCATAGGACATGTTGTTTCCGGTTTGGGGCTATTAACAAACAAAGCTACTAGAAAAAATAATGTATAGGTTTTTTTTTTTTTTTTTTTTTTTTTTTTCCTTTTTGAGACCAGCCGCACCACGCTCAGCCAGTGAGCGCTGTGAGCACACCGGTCATCCCTATATAGGATCCGAACCCGCGGCGGGACTCCCAGCGCCTCACTCTCCTGAGTGCGCCACGGGCTCAGCCCAATGTATAGGTTTTTGTGTGGACATAAGTTTACTTCTTTGAGGTAAATGTCTAGGAGTATAGTTGCTGGGTTATATAATTTAGTGTATATTTAATTTTTAAAGAATCTGCCA